CAGAGATCACACCGAGCATCGTGACCAAGATAAGAGAAATAAAATCGACTCAAATTCAGTTTTCATTGCCTTCAGCAGAACATAAAGACTGCAGAATAAATATAATAAAATAACAGAAGAGACAAAGGGACCAGAAAGTTCATACATAGTAAGGGTGAGTTTAATGTATGTTAATAGTTTGTTGTCCAAATTTTCACATGCAGGAAAAATAAGGATTTGTGTCATTAATAAATATTATTCAATTTCTTAATTACAGTATTAAATGTTTAAACTATTAACTGTCAGAAAATTGTAAGACAAAAAAGCCTATTATTATCTCTGGGACCCCAAGGTGATGTCTTTAAATTGCCTTTTTTTTTCTCTTTTTTTTTGTCAGACCAACAGTTCACAACATAAACATATTCAATTTACTGAAATATAAAACATAAAAAGCAGAACATTTTCATGGAGAAGCTGTAACCAGTAAATGTTTGGCATTTGCACTTTAAGAGTAACTTACATGATGAATCATTATCAAAATACATTTTTACAATTTTCTGTTAATCGACTGGTTCCTTCATCATGGAAAATTATGACTTGATTTTGATCAATCAGAAAAACTTTGAAGGACAATCAGTTGTGTTGTGGCCATACAGATCTTCACTGAGGAGAGAAAAACACTGAAGATCTGAGTGTGTGCAGACTTACACAACCCGCTGCACCCACTTAAACCTGACTGGGCAAAAGCACAGGACAAGGGTCAAGATAACAGAATTCACACAGATACCATCTACTCCATTACTGACCGTCAGCCAGGTTAGCTGACCGCCGCTGGCTCATTTAGAAACATTCACACATGCACACACGCACACACGCACACACGCACACACACACACACACACACACACACACACACACACACACACGCACACACACACAGAGCCTGGGCTGTCTTTGTGTCTCCTCCATACCCTTATCAACAGACAACCTCTGACATGTTTATCATGGCAGGAGGTCAGACTGTTTGTCTTGTGCTACTGTTCCCCATCATCTCCGAACCGCTAAAGGAACGTTCCTTCCCCTGAGCGCACTCATCATGTTCAGCTTCACAAGTTAATCTTCATGTTCAAACTGTCTGTGTGGAAACAAAATCACTGTGTTGATATTACATCACTTTCAAGTGTTAACTTTTAATGAGCTAAGAGTTTTCAGGCTTTTAAATGGTTTATTCAGCTAGTTTCAGAAGGAGGAGTATTTTCTCAGGCTATAGAGGAACATGTTACATGGTTTTCTTCAGACAGCGACAAGATCTGACATTCCGTCTTGCTGGCATTTTTGTGGTTACAGCCATTAAATGTAATCAGCTTATATAACATGTCTATGAGAGCTAGTTTCCATTGGGACAAGCAGGCCCACAAATATGGAAAATAGATGATCATTTGCCAAAAAAATTTATAAAAATACTGCCAGAGATTAGACGTTTTAGGTCATTAATTAATAGAAATGGATAGACAAGCGACTCTGAATGAGAAATTCTTTGCAGAGCAAGACGTTTAAAAATAAAGTGTGTGATTGAAGACGTTACTTTGTACATTTTTTTTTAAAGTGAGTGTAAAAAATTTGTATTGTTGACTGTAGCCATAATCATAACTTGTCATGATACTGACTGATGCTGTTCTTTACTGCGTATCTGATGAAACAGATGTTCTTGGGTGGTACAGAGGAAAGACAGTGCCATGTCGATTTCAAACGGGGGAAATTATGGAAATATTCAGCTGCAATCTTTGGTTAGTACCACAATGTTACTGTAAATTACAATATTATGTTACTGTCTGACCATCATTTGGAAAATTCCACTCCACGCTCAACATGAGACCGAGAGAGAAGAACCTGTGGTTCATGGACCGTGGCTCGCTTTGAGCTGTGAGGTAACTTCTTGATCTTTTTTACTTTCTTTCTTAAACATATGATTTCAACACAATAACACACACCGACAACATACTGTTGTTAACATGCTTCAAATCTTAAGTGAAAATTGAAATGCCAGGTTAAAAGGGATCTGTTTGTATCCAGCTCCACAGAGATTTTCTTTCCTGCTGAGCATCTGTTTGGCCAGTTCGCTGGTGTGAAAAGCAACTGTTTGCCTCTAGAAAACAACTGATAATGAGTGAAGATTTTAGAGAAGTCAACAAGTCAGTGGCTGTGTTGACATGAAACCAGCATCCTAAACCGACGCAGAGAGCATGCAACAAGATAAATTCTTATTTTGGCTCTATGAATGGTAATGTCGGTCTGTGGGTCCACAACTTTGGTTCAGACTGAAATATCTCAACAACCTTTGAATGAATTACTTTTAAATTTCAGACAGATATTCATGGTTCCCACATGATGATTTGGTGACTTTGGTGATTCCCTGACTTCTCCTCTACTGCTACCATGAAGACATTTTTGGTTTTGAATGAAATATCTTTGTTTGGTTTGTTGTGACCTTATTGAAAGTCCCTAAAGGATTAATTCTACTGACTTTGGAGGTTCTCTGACTTTTCATCTATCAGCTCAAAAAAGGTTATGAGACAACACTCCCAAAACATTCCCATCAGCCTCAGCTGTACTCGGTGTTAAGTACTAACTGACACTACGCTTACAGGATAATATAACATGATGAAACTGGTAAATATCACTTACAATTCATCCGTATGTTAGCACTTTCACTGTGAGCATGTTAGTATGCTGATGTTAGCATTTAGCTCAAGACACTGCTGTGTCTTCAAGCTTCAGAGCTGCTAAAAAGGTTGTTGACTCTGCGTCTTGTTACATTAGAGAAAAGTCGGGAGTGTTGGTGGGGGGCCTCCTGCAGCACCACACAACAGCCAGAACTAAATTTACATACAAGCTGCGACATTGTGCTGACTGTGTGAAAATGTCATAAGTCAAATAGTAGCAGCTATAGGCAGCCAGCTCAGTAAAGGTCCCTGAATACTCAGTGGCCATTATGAGGTCTTGACCTTCCAGTAAATGTGTCACAGTGATTAACGGTTAGTGTGACTGACTCGTCCTGAGTTATTGGCAGACATTTTGAATTCACTCACTAAGTAGCAGTTGTTTAGATCCACTTGCTGATCACAAAATCTAAACCTGAAATTTTTTTTTAGAACATTTTAATGAAGCAATATTTAGCAGAGTTCTTTTAGGACTTAAGCAACTGATGCTGATTGTGCCAAGGGTAATTTACAGTGAGACCAAGATGTTCTCTTTCATGAAATGAAGATAAGGTGTTATAAAAATGCTTTTCTCTGGTAACATGATGTCAATAACTCAAAGAGGCATCAGTCCAGGAAGATTCACACAATTCTAAGAAAAGCACTCTGCAAAACACTAATTTTCTGGGAACTTTCCAGCTACAGGACTGACAGCGAGATGAGTAATTCTTAAACACTCAAAGATGTGACCCTGTTGGCCATTGCTCATATAGTCAGTACAGAAAGAGGAGTTATTTGTTCGTTAACATGGCCGATAAAATCAGTCTGCTGCTGCTGCTGCTGCTGTTGTTGTTGTGCAGGACCAGCTACGCGTTTCAGACAAGGCCAGGCACATACCTGGAGGCTGGAATTTTATCAGAAGCATATTTACCACTATTTCATGTCAAACCACGATGACAGATAGGCCAGGAATTCTTCTGATCACTAAACTGCTGCAAAGTGCAAATTTTTCAGTTTTTTTTTTTTTTTTCAATGCTTGGAAAACCATTATATTTGCTCCAATGGACAGAGAATTTGAATAAATGAATTTGGGAATGTATGATCTATTCTCTGGATAACAATAATAATTTTAAGACTTGGCTTCAGTGAGTTTGGTCTCTTTGCTGTTGATTATCTGAAACAAATGGACAAGTGGATTTCAACATTGCACTTACATCTTAAATAAGACTTGATGACTGAAGGAACAACTACTCCCAGTAAAATATCTTTTATTGCCTGTGTGGTTTATGATGAATAATCTCACTGAAAACAAAACTATAAAATTCTTCATATTCAACTGTTTACAATGACTGAGAAGACTTACTGGCAGAAACATAAAACAGTACAATGTTCCAATAAATCTTTTGTAATACAACTAAATAAACAGGAAGCTGATGTTTGTTTATTTCAGAACACACGCAAAGTGTTGTGTAATACAAGGTACATGAGACTGAATAAACAGTCTGTATGCATCAAGTATCTCAAGAGAACTGAGATGAGACAAACTTCCTAATCGAAGATCAGCACTCCCTTCTTCAGAATCACTACTTACATACACAGACCCTGGTTGTGATTTGGGTGGCCAACATCTACACAAAGTACAGCAGACTTCACCATAAACACAAAGGGAGTGAATACCAGTGTAGCTTTAGGGCGCCATCTGGTGCCCATAAGTAGGAAGCGCAAGCACTTGTTTTAAATAGTACCAGATACCTTCCACTGAAGACATTTTGACATGTCACATTATGAAGAACACAGGTGTAAACTAGAGACCATCAGCCACGATGCCTGTCAAGATGTTGCCATACTGACCCATGAGTACTCAGTAGTCATCACTACATTATTGCATGAGTACTCAGTACTCAAGGGTCGGACCACACACATCTTCGGACTCGGCCTTCATTTTGATGTCAACTACACACATGTAACATTTCATGACTATCTTGCACAGTTGCACAGATGATACTGCACTGACAAAAATCTGTCCACAAACACCTGCCAAAGTACTAAGAACCACCTCTGTGGCAGTTCCTGCAACAGTTGGTGTCTCTGGGACCAAATTTACTATGATGACACACACACCGGGTCACATGGTAAAAACAATAGCAGCCACACTGTCATGGCTGATAATAATAAAATGAAAGATGGCAGAGTTTCATTTAGCCGCTTTGGTTTCAGGGTCCTGGTATTGTACATGCAGACTGACTGTCACACTGTCATGACTTACGAGGAAGAACAGCACCATTTTTTAATTCTCTTAGTGACAACTGTGCTTTTCCTACTGCCACAAGTCAAAATGTCTGCTGTGAAAAAGGACTATTTCAAACTTATTTACAGTAATTTTAATCACATTTTTAAAGGAAAGTCACTGTATTAACACAAGCACAGTCATAGTTCAGTGGTGAATAGATAATTAGGATAATACAAGACAAACCACAAACACAGACCAAGAAAACCACCACAGCAAAACGTCATTGCTTTTTAAGTAATTAAATAAAAAAGAGACAAAGCCAAATGACCACACTTAATATTTAATGTGTCACAGCAGGATGGCTAAACCCTCATTTAAAGGAAAACTGCAGCGTTTTACAACAATTCAATGTCCCATTTCACCCAGTTGTAAACTACATATTCTGAATTAAAACAAAGGTGATGGCAAACTGGGACCTAATCTGTCTGATCACTTGTTTGATAATGCCCAGTGCTCTCTGCACAATGTAAAACTGTACCAAGTGATATTCCTCATCGCAGTCTCTACGGAAGAGAGCAAGAAATTAGTGAAAAATAAAAGGGTTGATGGTCAAAACTATGGAAATACGAGCTAGACTGTAAAACAACAGAATTTTCCTTCAACATGGGGCATTAGCCAGCAGGGATTTGCCAGAATCTAAGATCTTAGGTTGCAATTTTTGCACTGAGACTGTGATATACTCTTGGCCTGATATCCCATTTATATAAAGCTTGTCTTTCAATTGTGCTGACAGTCATTTGAAAACAGAACATATACTACAATATTGCAAATTACGGTATGTCAACATATAGGTAAAATGGTTGCGCATCTTTGTAGCAAACCACCTACTTCACCACTGTGCTAATGTCGCTGGACGTTACCTGCTGAAATAAAATGTTTAAATTAGACACCGATGCCTTGTTGCAGGCAGCTCAGGCCTCACTCGATCTTTTGCCTGAGGATCCTTTTTTCTTCTTCTACGAAGTTCTTGTCAGAGGTGGCTTGTCCCATGTCCCTCTTCCTCTTCTCCTTCTGTTGGAAGGTCTCCACTCGACGTTTCTTGGCAGAGAGGGATCCTTTGTCTGAATCCTCATCTGATCACCAGAGGGGTGGTAGCAGTTGGTTGGAGAATTTTTGGGGGAGTGGGAGGAGGGTTGGAAAATAACGATTTGTGAATAACTCAACAGCGCACTTATACATAACAAGAGACTACAGTCAAACAGAAAGTGGAGCCAACACAAGATTTCTTGTTTTTTTTTGCTTGTGTGTAGTTTTGTGGCTCCCAACATCCATTTTCCACCAAGATGGGTGGAGTGTTTACCTCTAAAATTTTCCTGAGGTTAAGTCCATTCAGTCCACTGGATTATCACAAATGCAAGCACACAGATCATCTGTTGTAGCTTTACTTGGCAAAGGGCGAATACACAGACCTCTCCAAAATCACATAAACTTTATTGAGGTAGTATGCTGGGTTTTTTTACACCCATTAAAAAACTATTGTGTGTCTAATAATACAAATACTAAATGTTACAATAATAATAAGTCAGTAAACCTGGTCAAATAGGTGCACTACCTGGCATAGTTCCTCTACAACTATGGCTAGCACTCCAAACAGGTTCAACAGCAAGGAGTAAGCTGACATAGTGTAATACATTCAAACACCTGGTGTGATAGTAGCGGGGAGAATGAAGCCTATGGAAGTGGTCATTTCAACAGTTTATTAAGAATGATAAGGGAGAATAATAAATAGACTGACCTGAGTCTGACGGTTGCTCCTCTGCAGGTAGGAATTGGGCGTTGCCAGTGTAAGGCTGCGGCGCGTCTTCCCCATTGTCCTCATACACATTGGACCATTTTATAGCCATGTCCATACCTGGAGGAGGTCCCTTCTTCTTCTCTGGCTCTGCAGTGTAGCTCTCAGGAGGGGGCACAGCATTTGTCTTCCATGGCTTAAACTCTCTGGCAGGCTTAAGGTAACAGAGAAAAGAATCATTTGGAAAAGTGATTAAAAAAATTCTCCTAGAAGTGTCCAGCATTGCTGGGTTTACATATACTGTATATACATCCTTCTGTCTCTGTCCCCATGTGGTAAAATACAGAGAATAACATATCGGCTTAAGTACCACACAATGGTCACATCTGCCTAAAAGATGGCAACTGTGGTCCTGACTGTACTATTCTGCCAAATGCTGCTAAAAATGTGTTGATAACCAAACATTTGAAAATTTTACAAATTTGGGTTTAAGACTGTTGCCTAGACAACACACACAATTTGAAGATTTAAACTTTGGCTCTGGGAACAAGTGATGTGCTTTTCTTTTTATTTCAGACTATAATTCAATTAATAGCTGAATCAATATAGTAATAATGATAAACAACAGAAGAATGGACAGTAAAAATATTTGATAATTGCATAAAGACCTGCAGCTCTACTGCCAAATATTACACACAGTTCCCCGGAATTTTTTGTTTGTCAACCAAACAATCCCACAGTGTAGGCTTGCACTCAGTGGCCGATTCATCAGGTACACTAATCACCATGTACTACTAATCACTTCAGCTCATATACGGTGGGGGTGAGGAGGGCACAAGTAATCTGTGGCTCGCCCCCTCCCTGTCGGGCCAATGCTGGTAACTGTGGATGTGTATGGAAATTATATAAAAGGAGTCAACTATGGTGGTCAACATATTTACATAATTAGAAGTGTAAATCTCCCTAAAATATCCTACAATCTCCCTGAAGTTAGTTTATGGAAACACATCTCTACTTCGTATGTTTACCTCTTCAGGAGCTTTGACCGTCAGACTCTCCCAGTCTATCTGCTTATTCAGTGGGTTGTAGAGAAAAGCAGGCTTGGACACGGAGCTGAAGAGGTCATCAGGTTTGGGTAAAGGAGCTCCACCGGCCCCTCGTTTGGTCCCGTGTTGGGAGGACTCGGCTCCGCTTCCCGGAGCGTCTGTCACCGGTTTCTTCTTCCGACCGTCTCCCTCTTCGTCTGAGTCGCTACTGTCGCTCAAATCGTCGTAGCTCGAAAAGAAACCCAAAGAACCGGACTTCTTTTCTTCTGACATTGTGCTATAGTTACTAATTTTCTAATTAGTCAAACCCCGTTAATTTCAAAAACACGTAAAGATGAAAATACAGCTGCTGAACCTAATTCGGTTGAATTCGTACCCCTGGACTCTACTCCATTTTAAATCAGCCTCCTAAACAGTCGTAAAGCATGTAAGTAGTGTTGCGACGACTGTCGTAAAACTTTTTTCATTAAAGGAGCAGGCTGAGTAGGGTAAAAACCCATTCTACTACTACTACTATTATTGCTACTGCCACTGCTAGTACCACTACTATTACTACTAGCCTTCTACTACCTTCTACTGCTACTACTACTACTACTACTACTACTACTATTAACTCACACTATGGCTACTACCTACTACTACTACTACTACTACTGCTACTTTTACTACTACTTACTACCACTACAAATAGGAAAATAGGATAGTATAGCAAATTTGAAAGTGTGCAGATTGTCATACTCTGCACAACTATCCACCACCTAAGTTAGTTTTTTCTTCAGTTATGGTGTACTTTCCCCATGTTTTGTGGGAATCCGGGTATTTACTGGAGCTAAGATGGATAAATGACCAGCACCATGTTCAGTAAATGTTAACTTTGGGGCCAAAGTAGTAGCATGATCATCAGCTTGTGGATCATCAGTGAACAAAGGAATGTTTGGAGTTTTTGGAGGACGCCCAAGACAGCAAATATATTCCCACCTTTTGACCACTAGAGTGCAGTGTAGTCACACCAGTGAAACAAAGAGGCACCCTGAGGAAAGGAAGGAACTAAACATGAGGGGCAACTCTGCAGTGAAGGAATCACTCAGGTTTGCAGATAAAATATCCACTTTAAACAGTACATTTATAAAACCATCCATCTAAGTCAAGATTTATTTTCATAGCAAATAAATAGTCTGTAAGATTCACAGTTTGTTCCCATAAAATGGAGACTATCACCAAATCTCCCAAGCCTCCTAATAAACACTAAAACCACTTCTAAACATGTAAGGTTCAAACCTTCTTCTCCTTCCTGCCAGATCACTTTTCTGAGGATTAATAGCTATTCAGAAAACCCAAAGATTTAAAGTCTTTAGTGGGATTTCTTAGGTCACCTGCACCAAGAGGGGCCAGCCTTTGCTCTCATGTACAGGTCAGGCACCTACTAAAGTGCACTGGATAGACAAGGACACATAAATCGAATATACTGCTTTCCCTCCTTCTCTGTGTCTCCCACCCTCCATGCTCAATAATAACAATGCAGATGCTTCAAATGAGGTGTTCTTGGATTTTTAGGTGAGCAGGAGGTCAGATCGGCACAGAGATTTACTGGAAGTCCAGTCTGAACAGATCCTAAAGGCAAAAGTTCACGTACAGGAAAATAGTTTTTCACTATGGGGTTAAGAAACCATTTCTTTGTTGTGACTGATTGTTTTACTCCTTCTTGTTTGGCTTTATCTTCACTTCCTCTTCAGTATTAATTGTAATTGCAACGCCAGCAACACCATTAGTAGTAATAGCAATAAAAGAAATAGTTCTTGAGTTTTATTTACACTTTCAAAAGCAATACCAGTAAACTAGAACTACCCGGGGGTTGCCGTACAATATGATAGACTACTGACTAGTTGATTGCACCTTTCTGCCAACAGAACCCTTTTAAAAATGACATCTGGGCACATAAATGAGTCTAAAACAGGGGTGGGTGTGACTGTTGGGTCATATTTCATGCTATTACAACCCCTATTTATTCCCAGTTGAGTTTTTACACTTATCACCATGTTTATAATGATACTGTGTCAAGTTGTAATTTCTGAACAAGCCAAAGGCTGGCAGGTGATATACACAGATATTCTGTTTTTGACAGGGAGACCTCCACTGCTTGAACAAATGGTAAAGAAAGAATGTTGAACTTCTTTAACCTACACAGTAAATTTATTTTTCCTCTCTAAAGTTATATATATATTACCTATTTTAGCACTCACATTGCCTTATTGTTTTTCTTCCAGCTAAAGCCACTGACTAAAGGAAACTTTATTGTTTTAAATCCTGGAACATCTTAATAAACTGGTATTGAATGTGAATACAATTTACTGGAACTAAACTATCAGAGATTGTCCCTGACCTCCTATCCTCACTGCTCAGCAGCACTTCAATTAGTTTAGTTTGCTCAAGTAATAAAAAATGATTGTCATCATACTTAACAGGAATAAAACAGGACTGTGCTGGTGAGATTAAAAAACTGGGAAAGTGCTTATAAGGAGATCTCACCAAAATAAGAATTGAAAATGAAAATAATAACAGCTAAAATCACAGTTCATCATTTTAGCAAGACAAACACATTAGCAAAAAAACATAGAAAAAACAGAACTATTAAATATATCATGTTATATGTTGCATAAGTCAAATGGTAATAGCAAACATACAATTAATTGCTTCTAAAGATAGCAGGATAAATGATGCCACAAGATACTGAATTGAAGTAGTCAAGTAAATCTGAATAGCCTCTTTGTGAGAGGGGAGCATTGTGTTGTTGCATTACATGTGTGTATCACTCAATGACTGAGATGTGAAATAAATGAATAAAAACAATTTGTGTCAGTTTCCCGATTTATCCTTCTCAAAACAAGAGAAACATTCTGCCAATGTGCTTAAGTAATTCTACTTGCCCACTATTACAATGTCCCCTGTTTCCTGAATCTTAACAAAACAGGATGTGGCATGTCAAAGAAATCATAAAAAGAAAAAATTGAATAAAAATTCAATCATAAAAAGTCTTGAAACAAGAGATTATTTTTGCCTCTGTCGGTTGGACCACAGGAGAGCTAGTTTTTAATGTGTTTCCTCCTACATGTTCTTTCTTTAGGTACATAACCTTAGAGACAGATGTCCTACTGCTAGGACAGCATAAGGCCCCATTTCCTCTCATATGAGCTGAAGATTGTCTGATGGATGCTTGTTGGTTTTCCAATCTTTTTATTGGCTTTGGACCATCTTAAGGATGCATTTGCTCTGAAAAAGAAATGGGCTCTTCCTTTGACTTACTGTTTCTTCAATCTCCACAGAGGCTGACCATGATGTGAGAAATTCCACACGAGGGTGAAAAGCCACACCTCTCCACATCTCTGTTTAATCTACAGTAGCTGTTCATAATATCTCGGATGTCTTTATTTCATGCATAGGCTGAAATCAGGTCAGGACACATCTGAGACAGCAGAGCAGTGGGTGGTTTACTCGGTTTTAGGTCGAGCAAATGGCCAGATGTTTTCTCTTTTTAACATTTCTACAGTTAATTTGAGCTAAGTACAGTTTTTTCTCCCTCAAAGTAATCGGTATTAACTCACACAAGGTATCAGATGTTTTGTTGTTATCACCTGTGTGTGTTCTCCTAACTCTTGAAGGCAAATTGGGGGATTCAGAGCGTTTTGGATCTTTAATTGTACAAATCCTGTTTACATTTAACACAATTAAACCCGCGGTCATCATCTTGAAGTTGCCAAAGAACACCTGGGAGATGTAAAATTGGTTTGGTGATGTGATCATAAAACCCAGATGGAAATGTTCACTCTTTTTTTTCCACCAACAGATAACAGTGTGAGCCAGACATCTTCGTGATATTGTGTTGCAGCCCCTTTTGGCACAATCCAGCTGTTGTCACCCAGGTGCAGTCTTAAACTTCCATTTCTGCCTCTTCTCACCCACATATCCTTCTTTGTGATGGGTTATGGACTTGATAATTGATAATTGGTAAAGAATGTACTTTTAATGCTGTTAGTCAAAGTCTATCACAACTTTTCACTTATCTTAAACTATATGAGTTTAAACTGACCTTTGACCTGAAGCTTTGTTAATGTAGTGGGATGATACAGGAGGTAGAATAGTGATCTTAAAATAGTTAATGTGGAAAACAGATGCGTTGCTCTCAAAATCACTGCATTTGTTGAAAAGAAGACTGTGCACTATGTTCAACAATGGTCCATCAAAAATTCAAAACAGCAACTGTTTCCTCACAATCAGAGCCATGTTTGTATCATTTTAGACTGCCCTACTGGCAAACATGGGAGATCTCAGCTGAGGGACTTGTCCCATGCTGTGTTAGTGCTATTATTTCCTAACACAAAATGTTCTCATCTGTGATAACACAGATGAGAACATTTAAATTCACCACATGTTTCAGCATGGCATATTTACTTTAAGAGAGCGCTGTATTTAAGTAAAGTTTTGAAGTCCAAACTGAAATATATTAACAACTATTACATGAATTGCCATAAGACATTTGTTTTCCCCAGGATGAAATCCCACTGACTGTTGTGATCCCCTGACTTTTCTGCCACCAGCAGGTTGACATTTTTGCTGCAGAGTGAAATATTTTGACATCTATTAGATTGTCATTTGATATGGCGACCACCATCAGGTAAAAATTTCAAATTTTATTTTGTCCAGTACTTTGTTTTATGACAATATTCTTACAAAACTAATGCTAAACATGCTAACATGCTAAACTAAGATTTGTCGACTCATTATAATCTATCTGTTCACCAGGAAACAAGCAACCAATAAACAAATTGTGATGCAGCTGCAATATGCAGCTACTATACAACATTATGCTGCTTATAAAGACATAAATTATAATAAAAATTAACCTCAACTGTCAAAACAGCACCTGTGGAAATTAAACATTCATGTTCACATTCTCTTCCAGCATTACTCTATATATATCTATCGTCTCTCCTTTTATCTTTTCTGCATCTGAATCCAACATGATTAACTGTAAAACGGCTGAGGTGGAAATAACATGTGGTGTCATGACTTTTTTTCCTGACGGAGAAAAAAACAGAGACGCAGCTGTTAAAGCTGGAAGTCAAGAGGCGGCAATCTTGTTGAAACATGCACTTTTATATTTATACATGCTGAGTGTACATGCAATAGTAAAATTTGCATATTCACTCCCCCTCTTCATCTCTGTCCTTCTTTCAGGCTCCCTTTTTTTCCTCCCCTCTGCTTTTCTTTCTTTCTGTTTTTTGTATCCACAGCTCTTTATACCACACAGGCACGTGCACACATACCCTCCACCACTGTGTTTTCTCTGGTCACTTAACACTCAGTGCGATTTCAAACCTGAGAGGTGGCATTCTTTGGCTCAT